ACACACACAGACACACAGACACACACAGACAAACACACACAAAAAAAAGAAGAGAAGCAAGGGAAATAGAAAAGCCCGCCGCACCAGGGCACCCCTCAAAGCACATAGTACATATGTGACTTGTCAGCGCTGAGCGCATTGTAGACGCGTGCACCAGACAGCGCACCCACTGGTGCGCTGCAGGTATGATCAGAAGGAACATTAAGAATAGACAAATTATCCCTCCTAGAAGGTAATCATCTCAATAGGCCAACTTGATCTGATTCCTTGTATATCTTACTATTTGCAAGTTTTGGCCAATTGATTATAACCTCCGTTGGGCCAACGTCCTATTCCTCAATGAAGAAAAAGACTGACAACTTCGTCAAAGAGAATGGACGGAGAGTCTCCATACCTTTCAGAGTCATTACCCAGGACTATTCTGGCCAGCCGCCAACGACTACTGCGACTCAGGTACCGCGCACGAATGCCACTCCACTCCTCCCTCACAGACCGCCACCGTCCTGAACTTGCACCCATGGCACTGTCATCACCTGCACTGTCGTCTTCACTTTCCACCAAGGCCTGCTGTCTCCGAGCTGACCAGGGCATAGGCATCCCTCTTGCTCCAATTATCCCATTCGATGTCTGTGCAACAAGCTGCAAGGCACCACTCACGGGACCAGCAATGGCACCCAGTAAACCCTGGACACACAAAAGCGGGTAGCAACAGGGTGAAACATGGGGTAGGTCAATAGCCAAGAAGAGAAGCTGTTTTTTGCTCGCAAATCTCCACACATACACACAATTGCATTCCTTGTATTCCAAAAAAAAAAAAAAAAAAAAAAAAAAAAAAACATTCCTTTTATTCTTTCAATCTGAGATCACAGCCCACCCCCTCCAGCACACATGAGGTCGTCCGGTGTCTGCCAACCCCCATACAGCAAAGAGAGGCAGACATGCAGCTGACCAGCCGAGGTGCTTGAACGAAGGACTAAACAACCTGTTGCAGCTTCTCCTGAAAACAAAACTAGGATAACCAGATGTCTTTCCTCACTGGAGTATCTATTTCACCCTCTGCATGCCTTCCCGCTGCCCCCCACCATCATTATGGCAACCACTTAAATCCACTTTCGTGCACAGGCAAAAACATATTCACTGTCCGTCCCGATAACTACCCCTCCCTCCCCCTCTCTCCCGATGTGTGCGTCTAACCCTTCCCTCTGCATCTCCCCCTCCCTGGATGCCTGCCAATGCGCGCCCCGAGCTCCTTCCATAACGCAGTAAACGTCCAATCCCTCCCTCCCTCCTTCTCTCCCGATATCTGTGCATCTCCCTGTCCTCCCATCCCTCCCTCCTGTTTATCCCATTCCATCGCCACCCCTCTCACTCTCTCTTGCCTCCCCTCAGGCTGTCCACCTCCACCTCCCTCCCTCCCTGGATCCCTCCTTCCCTCCCCCCATCAGTCCCTCGCTATCTCCCATCTCATTCTCCCTTTCTGCCTTCCTCCCTCCTTATCTCTCTCGGGGTGACTCCTCATCTCTCTCGGAGTGAGTATCCACCTCTCCCTCCCTCCCTCACAATCTCCACACCGCTCTATCACTCGGCCCCCTCCTTCCTTCATGCCTCCCACCCCCCCCCC